ATGCTGACTCCAAAAAGATCTTGACAGGTGATAGAAATGGAATAGAAAGATCTTGGCCAACTTGAACAATAAAATAAATCTTACAATAATAAGTCTACATTTTCTCTCAAATGTAAAAGCCAGAGGCATAGGTTTAGGGCAGAAATATTTATCATGCATTAAAATGACTCAGACAAGTTTAGTGGAAGATACTCAATTGTGAGTCATAATTGTGGTGGATTTTCCAAAAAAGAAGATTAGGTATTAAGCAGCATTAATTCAACAAAGGAGGTGATAATCCAAATACGGATTGGCTTGATCAAAATACACCTGAAAAACGGGGTTCATTTTGAATGCGATATATGGTCTCTGATGCCTTCTGAAAAGTATAATGAGAATAGGAAAAAACTCAGGAGTTAAGAACAGCTACAAAAGTTGGTCTGGCTGCAAGAATTGATGCAAAGGACAACTTCAAAATGAAGGTATTAAAGTTACTGCTCAATCAAAATGAAAGACAGATGAAAGCAATACACGAGCTCAAAGATACCTGTGAGTAGACGAGGCAACTCATGCCTCTCCCCATTATGTGTGGAACTCAGATTCCACCAGGATAGAGGACCCTAGAAAGGTAAAAAAGTAGAGACCTGTGAGATAACGCCCCTCTGCCTTTCTAGAGAGATCTGCTTTATTACTGTACAAAGAAATTCGTCTGGGCCACAACGACATTCTAAAGTATCTCCCTCATTGATATTTCACCTATATGAGTATAGAGCCATGTTATAACACAATAGAAATAGTATCTTTACAGTTTAGTAATGACAATTGAATAGATCTGTGGTCAATACAAAAAGATCACTGGAGAGACTAGTGATATATGTATTTATATGTATATAATGAACTGTTGGGGACAAAACCAGGGCCTTTGCACTGTCTCATCACTTTTTTTTCTTTTATTTTTTGAGACTGGGTATCACAAAATTGCTAATTTAGCGCCTTGGGCTGGGCTGTAACTTGCATTCCTTCTGTTCTAAATCCAATCTTCCTCAAGTTCTAGGACTACATGTGCGCACTATCACATTTGGCTTGTATCCATACATACTAAAAATTGCTATGTGGTTCAGCAATTATCATGGTTCTCTAATATCTCAAGTAATAAAACAGAGTCCTTAAAAATCAGTAAGAGATTTGCAACAGTCCTATTTTGTAAGGACAAAATAGATGGCCCTGGAAAGCAGTTTTCCCTAACTAAATGGGAATGAAGATAAAAACAAGGGCTGAGTGACTTATTAGTGGGATGTTATTCAGGAAATTCAAGAATTCCATGAGATTTAGAATAGTTTTGAAAGATCTCTTCCAAGGATGAGTTTTTTGGGTTCATCTTTCATTCTATAAGCTATGTACCCAACATCACCTTAAGTACCATGGATATGTCAATAAGAAAAACAGCATTCTCTCAAAGAGCTTAAATCTGATGGCCTAAGTGACAATAACTAGTAAAGGTTATGTAATAAAATAAAGCAAAGTATTGAGTATCAAGCGAGGGAAAAGACAAGGATATGATGTCAGAAAAGGATTCCCTATGTCTTCAATTCTTATCTTTTTTTCCTGAGGCCCTTAATTTTGTTCTTTATATTAACTACTCTCTGTATAGTGTACTTCTTAACTCTTAAACCTAGAATAACTTCCAACTCTTAACTCTAAAGAATTCAGTGAAAATACTACAGTGAAACTTAAAAGCAGATATATCTAATATTTATATTATTTGGATCCACATGTAGATATCCTTACATGTCTCAAACAGTACAATTTTCTCTCTCCATCCAACACTTAGTAATATTTGGGTTTAGGCTGGTTTTATGATTTCAGATTATGTCTTTGAAGTAAATATTTATCTATCTATATCTCCTGTCCACCTCAAGAGAGATTTTACCTTCATTTATGTCATGCTTTTCATTTAATGAATAAATTTATTTATTTATTTATTTATTTATTTATTTTATTTATTTTTTAGCACAACTGGGGATTGAACTCAGACCCATGTGCTTGCCAGGGAAGCGCTTATTCTACTGAGTCATCTCCCCTGCCCTTAATGAATAAATTTAAACATTATTCAGTTTGAAGTTTGTATTTTATGGCATAAAAGGAATCAATATATTTTGATGTTAATATCTATCTAAATCTGCCAAACAAAAAAAGATAAAATAAGGTTATACCCCAACTAATTTAAGGCTAAATTATATACAAATGCAATTAGCTTATGAGTTCTACTATTTATTTTCTTGTTATTTTTATTAGTATAGGTTTGTGATACACAATAATTATATTCATCTTGGAGAATTGGTGAATATGTATAATAGTATCTTAATCATTTCTGATTTCCTTTCCCCTTTATACCATGCTTTTTATCTCCCTGTTCTCCAGATCCCCTTCCCCATCTCCAAAGTCTGCCTCCCTATATCCTGTTTCTTACCATCTCTTCTTTCAGTTTGCTCTTTAAATTACTTGTATTTTGGGATTCTCATATTAGAGAAGTGTGTGTGCATGTGTGTGTGTGTGTGTGTGTGTGTGTGTGTGTGTGTAGATGCACGCCCCAGTGCATATAGGTGAAATGCAGGGGAACATTTGGAGAGTCCTCTGAAAAGGCTGCTGGAATAAGAAATGATCATCTGTCAACATAATGCAGCAACATAATATATTAACTTTCTAATCACAAATTCATAAAGTCATACTGTAAAAAGATGAAAACTGCCTTAGAAGTTTTACTTATCTTACTACCCAGGTCACCAATGCTATCTCTTACAGAAACCAGTTTTAGCAAGGTGGAAAGAATGTGCAAGATCATGCGTTTGTTCACACACACACACACACACACACACACACACTAAATGGAAGACATTTAGCTAAAGACAGACATATGGACACAAGTTTATGTTTTTCTGGTTCCCTGTTATATTCAAATCACTGAAAAAATAATTTTTTAAAATAAAATTGTGATGCTGGAAAATAATCTCTGACAATAATTTAAGAAAATACTAGAAGAACAAAACCACAATTGGAGAAAGTGGAGTAAGGAATACTGAATAAGCCTAACCATCCGAAATGCTCAAGAGTCTCCCTGCTCACACCACATGTGTACAAAGAGCAAGAGGAACCTTGCCAAGAAGAGCAAAGAATCACAAAGTCACACTGGAAACAGCAAGACTTCTTTCTCTCACTCCTCTCCTCCATGAATACAGAGCAAATGGTGTTGAAAGCTGAAATTTTTAGACCCAAAGATAAAACCTAGCAACCTTGCACATACCTGTCCAGTTAAATGCATGGACCAAACACCGCATTTCTCGGCTTACCAAGCAACTGCTAAAGGACCTACCTAAGACAACCCGATGACAGAGGAGATATACAAGACAGATTCTAAAGCATCAGAGTCAACACCTATCAGCACCAAACAAGATA